GTGTTACTATTTATAGCGATAGTGTTCTAGGGTTAAACTGTGAATATACTGCTGTGTGTTGAAATTCCGTTTTTTGCATAGAAATATACTGAACAACATACAAAGCTTAATATATAAAATAACATCTGAGTTTTTTCTGTGAAAGAAGCTCCTTATGTCCATTGTTGTGTTAATCAGTACATAACTGAAACCAGTTTAGAGAGTTTGTTTAGCCGTGGAAGGTAACAACTGAAAATATGAAATAAACACACATGTAAGCTGAGACTCTCTAAACAAACAGCATTGTTGTTGTTCGGCTTTTCATTTCGCCATTTATTGATTCACTTGAAGAACAAGTAACGTAATATGGGTCAAGTGATCAGTTTGACATCAATCTTTCGTGATACACCGTCATATTTACATTATCTGTACAGTACGAATGATTTGGTTTGGTACCTGGTAAAACTTAAGCTCTCCTCTGTCTGCCTGGCTGTGCTTCTCCTACAGCAAACTCGCAGGCAGCAGCTCCCCCCTCACTCACATGCGTAAGTGCTGTGCTTAGTCACCTAGTGCCTGAGCTCGGATCATACCAAAATTAGGGGGAATTCACGACTGTGCGCTATGTGTTTTGAATAATGTGTGTAGTTTTTGTTTTACACATTTGTCAGTCAGGCATCTAACTATGAAACAAATTACACTCGAAAAAGACCCTGGGCTTCTGAGACACCGATGATCTACAGAGGGGACGCTGGGATGTTAGACCGGATACATTTCACCAAGTGGTGCAATGAGAGGGAAGGTGATCGAGACTGAATGATATCCCATAAATATGATATCCACGTGTCTTTCATGAAGCTCTGCACACAACAGTACATGATGGACACACACAGACAAACCCATGCGTCCAGCACACAGTCATTTGTATTTTATTTATTTTATTTTCTTCAAGCAATATTGAGAGTGATCTATTAAATGTACCAGTCATATTCACTGACATGGAAAATGTGCTACAGGAACACTAACATTGAAATGTGTGTAAAAAACATTTTGCTTTTCAACCTAAATTCTTAGTCTGAGAACGAACATTAGGTAGCTTAATGGTTCAAGCTCATGTCTGAACACATCTTGGTCCTTTTCTTCCTGGAATAAGCAAAGTCATTTGCAGGAGTACTTCTATAATTCACCCTTACTTCAGCTAGGTTTTGGGCATAATGTTAGCACAGAGGTTCACTGATGTTCTACAGGGAGGGCCATTTATATGGATACACCATAATAACATGGGAA